AAGAGAGAGAGAGAGAGAGAGAGAGAGGAAGAGAGGGAAGACAGTAAAACAAAAAGAACTCATGAATGGGAAACACATAGGACAAATGGAACAACTGGGCCGGACGTGCGTACAGGCAGATGGTGCTGCCTCATCGAAGAAGTGTGCATGGACGCTCATGACAGTGTGGATGATGATGTCGACTTCTTCACGGTGGTTGGGTTGCCACCAGGGGGAACACCACGGCTCCTTTTCCTCATGTTTGAAAACATCCCATCGGTTGCCGCCGTTGAAAAAAATTCCACGCTGGGACAATCCATAGACACAGTCTCCGGGATCCTATTCTTGCAGTCAACATTCTCCGCACTCCGCAGGCTGGATTCCGAAGCTGCGACTGTGGACGGTAACGCTAAGGGCTGTGACGATGACGTCCTGCCTTCCATTACACCCAGTGCGTTAGAAGCTCTAAGCGTCGCCGAGAGCGAGAGTGAAAGCAGAGACTGAGACTCTCGTGCAACAAAGAAGTCGCATTGCTCACTGTCCTCAGCTATGGCCTCAAAGTATTTTTCCAGCTTGTGGCGCCGCTGTTCCTTCTTGCTGGTAGCCGCGTTTGAAGCGCGTGAAAGGTAAGGTACGGCTGCCTCGCCGAGGGGCCCGTCGGTGGTGTTGAAGGAGTGTTGCTGTTGTGGATATCCCTGATGCGACTCCGGGCGTAAACAGCGAGCCAAGCTGCTCGTCTCTATGGTGCTGCGTGACGTTGCTGCACCCTGTGAGGAGCGCACGGGCGCGTCGTGGTCAGCACGCGTCGTCGCCGTGGCCGCACTTCCATCACTGCGGTGACTTTCCATTTGCTGTCGCTCTCTACCGTCGGATGCCACTGCGTCTTCCCTTAGCGGAGCCACATTGGTGGCAGCGGGTGTGGCCAGCTTTTGTGGTGTCTGACCCCCGCCAACGGACGGCGGCACCGTAGGCGCCAGAAGCTGCCTGCCACTACCGGTCCCGCTCTGGTGGACGACAACAGGGTGATTCTTCTTGCTGCTGGTCGTCTCAGAAAATACTTCTTGCTTTTCACTTCCGCCTTGACCATAACTCTTGACAATATGCCCACTACGATCCCGGCCCTCCGCAACGTCGTTGTCACTCCTCTCACCACCATCATCAGCACCAGCATCGTTGTTGTCGTCGTCTTTGTAGAGAGGCACCATGGTACTCTCGGCATTTACGTCCATAGCATCTTTCCGTCGCTTGCGAATGAGCCGCAACGCCTCTTCTGCGCTCGGGCGCCGCGCAGGATCTGGCTCAAGCAAATATGTAATGAAGGCCGCCAATGCCAGACTGTACCCATACACCTGTGTTAACTCATTAATCAGCTTTTTCCTAAAATCAGGTCGACCGCATTCACTAAACATCACCTTCACATTGTCACTCTCCACGCGCTTTGCGCAGGCTGCATAAAGAATACATCCTGTGGCCCATATATCCACTTTTGTGGAGTAGTGCCGCTGCCAACACTCCGGCGCCACGTAGGGCAGAGAACCAACCCCTGTTTCACAAAACGTCTTGTCCATCACACGTGAAAGACCAAAGTCTGTAACGACAATTCGCAAAGACTCTGCACTGCCGTTCTGCCCACGGCTCTCCTTCCACCGCTGACCGCGTGCAGTGTCAGATTCAAGCAGAATATTTTCAGGCTTTAAGTCGCGGTGAATGATGGCGGGTTCACGGTGATGCATGAACTGCAACACGGTTAAGATCTGAAAGGCAATGCTCATAATGGTCGTTTCTGGAATCATTGGTTCTGACTTTTTCTGCCGAATCCACTTTCCAAGATCCCCCTTCTCGTGGTACGCCATAACAAGTGACAAATACCTCTCGCTGGGAGTCGCTACTGCCATTGCTCCACGTTGGGGGGTGGCCGGATGAATTTCACGGCCGTCCTCCACACGTACCATAACGGATTCGTTCGGGGAGCTCAATTGACGTTCAGAACGCTGCTGACGCCCTCCACCAGCATGTAGATTTGTATCAAAGCGATACGACATGAACATATCCACCAGCCGAATCACATTGGGGTGCCCTTGCAGAGTGTAGGCAACCTCACACTCCCGCATGGCCTCTAGTCGATCCACGTCGTCCGCACACTGGACGTACTTCAGCGCAAATCGTTGACCATCCTCCACCCGCTCCACAAGGTAGACGACGGAGAAACTCCCTCGTCCAAGACGATGCAGCACGTGGTACTTGCCATCAAGAAGCCTTTGCTTCTGATCTACAGGCAGAGCGGTACCACGACCAACACCACGACCTTTATCATTTTCATCCTCATCGTTATCATAGTGCAAAAATAAACGTTGCAGCTCCGCCTTGTTAGCACTCTTATCGATGTACCGCTTCACGAGTTGAAACAGCCCAGCTGCCACAAGGAGCATGGTAATAAAGATAGATATTACAAGTGCAGCAATGCTGCCGTAAGACATGTTGTTATCCGACGCAGGGGAGGGTGGAGGCGTGGTCGTTGTAGTCGTACCAGGCACCCACTTTGTAACGGGGGAAAGAACAAAGGGCTTCTCAGCATTCAACGCTCTGTAAAAGGCGGTGGTACAGGGTTTCTTAACATCCTTTTCCTCATCCCAAACTGCCGCATTTATACCACCCTCGCACTGAGGTAGTACAAAGGCCCCACTGGAAAAACATACATACAAAAAAAATTGCTCATAAAATGGTCTCGTGGTATTTCTTCCGTAAATGGGGCGCGGACGACGACGGTAACGATGATGATGTTCCCCAGATAGGGAAGCAACACTAGGGCCGCCATAACCTACTCCATGCCCAGTGAGATTAATAATACCTTCTACGAGGGAGCCTATAAGTGTCACAGGTCCCACCGCCATCGTTGTTTTCTTTAGAACAGTATTTGTTATTGGATCCACCTCATTCACAGTGTACGGCTGTGTGTTGGCAGAGGACAAGTTACCAATGTCCAGAAGACGCGAATTGCATGTGGGTGAATCAGAGAGACGTAACAGACACGGAGATACGCGATCGAGACCAGTGCCTGTCACATAGTTACCAGGATGGATGAGACCAGGACAGGCTTGTGCCAAGCTTTCAGAGAGAAGAATGTTAAACGTAAAGTTGTACCACAAGGGCTCATATCCATTCACCAAGACGGTAATGTTGCCATCGTTGTTTGGCAGGTCCGTGGTAGGCGGGGTAGGCGGAGGAGGTGGTGGTGGCGTTGGCGTTATAGACGGACTGACGGTTGGTGTCATGCTTGACGTACTCCTCAACGAATGCGAGGGTGTGTGTGTTCCCACACTTTCAGAATCCTCTGACATAGACGGATACAAATTCACCACCTCTTCTTCTCTTTGCCTCTCTTCTTGTTCTACGATGGCTACTCCTGCTGCGGCAGCTTCCTCTGTTGCCTCGTCTCTCACGCGTTTATTGGCCTTCATGGAAGGTGTTGTTCCATCCTTCATGACTACATGTTGCCGTGTGCGTTGCATCTCCCTTTGCGCTGCCACCTCCGTCTCTATCTCCTCCTCCTCCGACACCTCGTTCGCAAGGGAAATATAATGAAATCCAACGACGCTCACTGCCAGATGCCCATCGTTGACATTCATCTTCCCGGTAAAAACGTCCAACGAAATGCCTGCTCCGTCCGGCGGTGGGATCTGCCCACCAACGAGATAGGCAGTGACACCGTCCACATTAGTCACGGCCAACAAAGCGGCATTGCTGCGTAGCGGTGGGAAGGGAATGGACACAGTTTCCGCATTGTGGTGCATTTGCAGGAGATCTGACCATACCTCTTGTCGGTCAAAGGAGCGGCCATTTGTGGCGCCCATCACGGCTAGCGTGTGGTTATACATCACGAGTTGCGGGGCGAGCCAATTGAGCTGCCATGTATCATCGTAACTTCCAATACTCACCTTGACCAGCGAGGGATCAATGACGGTCACCATGCGACTGAGAACGAGTCCATTCCCCGTGGTTTCCCGGTAGCCACCGGCAATAAACACAAGACCACTGCTTTCAAATACACCAGGTGCAACAATCGGATCGTCAAGCAGTAGCCCCGCCTCAATAAATTGCCCTGTTACCACATTGTACTGGGACACAGAGGCCAATGGCACCATCTTCTCCAAAGAGACCCCACCAACAATGTAGATGATATCTCCACCACTCCCGACACAACTAGCATTGAAACGCAGCAGCGCATCCGCTGGGAGGCTTGCATTCCGTATGTCCATCGTAACATCATCCAGAGGAGGAAACTCCTCCTGATACAGCCGCACCTCTTGCACAGACCGGAGAAAGACGTGAAACTCATCATTCTTTTCTACAATCACATTACTAGGAAGCATTGTGCAAAACCCCATGATGTATGCTGCCTGACCAAGCCGAACTGCAGTTGCCGTCCCAACGGCAGGAAATGTCAATTGTGCAGGAACACGAGGCGGTAACGGTAACGACGACGGCCGCAAAGGTGAAGCATGGCGACCAGGCGCAGTATGCTTGACCCCGGTTGACTCATTATGTAGAAGCATCCATGGAAGCACGCGTGACCCCGTCGTTATATCCACCACATTGATTGTTGGAAGGGCATATTGGTACAAAAACATCAACACTGGTGTGTATGGCGGGACAATGGCAGAGCCGCCCATGATGACTAGATAACGCCCCAATGCAACAGTGGCTGGAAAGATGCCCGTATTGTTCAACTTTACTGCGGTAGCACTCCAACCCGTGAAGCCGACGTAGGTTTCCCCTAAACTATCCCTCATGCTAGTTGCCGTCGCTGCTGCGGCAGGCATACCCCATCTACCAGTAGGCACGTACGACGGTGCATTGACGTCCAGCGAGTGCCCAGGGCTTGTAGTCACCGCAAGGAGTAAATGCACCACAACCAACACTAACAACAAATTTATCTGAAATGAAACATGCAAAAATAATGGCCTTCGCTGTTGAGGGGTGATGCGGCCAAAGTGACAAGTGCTGCTGACGCTGGTGCTATTGTCCCTGCGGGAAATGGTGGAGTCTAACAAGTCCAACGATGAAAAGAGCCTACGACGTATAGTTGATTTCTTTGCTCTCCCGCTATTCATCCTTTGCGCACTCTGTGCACCACAATGTCAACAGACGCGGCAAGAATACAAGCACACACACACACACACAGGGAGAGAGAAAGAAAGTGAGAAGGCAAAAGACACGCATAAAGACAGAAGAACACACGGGAATAGTGGGGCAGACGCATATATAATTTAGAGCGACACACATGCGTGTGTATATAAGGCAGGTCACACCATGACACTAGTATATTTTTGCACATTTCCAGCAGTACATATATATATATATATATATATCACTGCCTTAAATTCATCAAGGTATCAGTCAAGAAAAAAAGCATGAGAAGGCTAAGGTCCCTTGTTAACTTGCTTCTCACGCTTTATTCCCGTCTCCTACCCACCCTTTGCAGCACCCTAAATGTATGCTCGTACTTCATTAATGTATTTTCCCTTCATCGTTTGTGCGTTGTCTCTCTCTGTCTCTCCCACCTTTTTTTTTTTGTATTTCTTATGCCATTCCTGTGCCACAACAGACCCCTTACTTCATGGTATCCGTCCGCGAGGATGCCGGGTGACATGCATGCATGGGGCGGGATAGGAAGAAGGAGCAGGGAGGAGACACGGGTAGATGCATAAATACAAGATATTATTAACAGCTAGTGCTTTATCCTAAAAGTTTCCGTAACTAAGCAAAAAAAAAACGCCTTATCTATTAAGAGCCGACTTACATCGGGCTGACCACCTCACTCCAAGTGGGAAGAAGAAGAACAACACACGTCACACATTGGATATATATATATATCTATGTGTGCGCCTGTACACTTTTTTTTCCTTCTTTCCTTCCTTGTCGCTATTCAACGCTTCATTTCAGAACTACTTCTCGAAGAATGTCCTGAGCGTGTTTTCCGTATGCATCTTCTCAATAGCGCGGGCAAGCAGCGGGGCAATGGGCAGTAGCCGAAGTTTTCGTGCGAGTAGGGGGTTCTTGAGCGCGGCGTCCTGGTTCACGCTGTCGGTAACAACAACGAGGTCAATGGGGCTGTTGATGATCCGCTCCTCAGCCCCAGCGGAGAGAATGAAGTGCGTCGCCATGACGATAATGCGACTTGCCCCTGCCTCATGCAGCTTCCAGGCTGTGCGGCAGATTTTAATCGCCTCATCAATGATGGTGTCAACAATGATGCAAAGGCGATCCCTGACGTCACCCACGAGTGCCACACCCTCGGTTTGGGCGGGGTTCTCCAGGTGCCTTTCGCGAATGGCCCCTGTGCCTTCCTGCTGCTGCCGCAGCGCCTGCTCGTAGGCATAAATGCCGTTCGTAGAACTAAATGGACTTCCTCCATCAGCTGGAGATGGCGCATTTGACACCGTTCCTGCTTGTGGTTGCTGTTGCTGTTGCTTGATGTTCGTAGCGCCAGACAACTCGCCAGTCGAATGGACGGAGGTGGGAGCTGCCTGCATGGCCTCCAGCGGTGCGCGGCTTGTGCGGGCCGCCACTCCTCGATCGGAGACCTGATCGAGTTCAGCATAGGTAGAAGAGCCAAACTCCAGAGGCGCTGCTGCTGCAGGTTCACAGGACTCACGGGGTCTAGGCAACATGTTTGTGGGTAGAGGTGGTCCCGGACACGGATGACGATAGACTACCGTGCAAACAGGGACAAACTTCTCCTCACTGGATAACTTCTTGTAGTTCATTAAGGCATCTGCAAAAACCTTTGCGCGGTTGACGGCGTTGCCTGTGGGGGCCACAACCGATATGTTGCGGAAATCATGACCCTCATTTGTCAGCTGGGTGACAATGAAACGAACAAACTCGTACCTGGCCGATATATTTTCCAGTGGTACGGAGAACATCCCTTCCGTCTGCTCATTAAACATATCAACTGTAATCACGTGTTGACAGCCCATCTTTTCAAGCAGCTCGGCCACAAGAGCCATGGAAGAGACACTGTTAGCGTAGGCGAGGTAAGGAATGACTGCTGTTACCCGAGCGGCAGAACTTAACTTTGCCGTATGCAGCATCAAAGCCAACTCCATGAGGTTGCCAGAGAGCGACAGACCAATTTGATCGCACCGCACCATAGATTGAAGCACGAATACATCATCTCCGCGCAGGGTTCGAGCAAAATTTACACTAACCTCCCCATTTGGAAACTGACTGCAACACGGCGGGTATCGCTCACACTGCAACACCTCACATATCATCTTTTCACAAAAGACGCTCGCGTCCCCGGGTAGAATACGCACCGCGAAGTTTCCTTGCCTCTCCTGATGCGGAAAGTTCAGGGTAAAGAAAAACGTTTCACTGTGTGGTAAAATACGGCGGATGTTGACCCCAGCCTTGTATTCATAGTGGCTTAAGTTCGTCAGAGTCTCTTCATATGTGAGACGATACACCGTACCATAAAGTGCAATAAGATCCAATGCAATGCGGCGGATATCAAGTCGTGGTTGTGCGATGGCGCTTTTGGCAATGGTATCATCCACAGCCCTCAGACGTTGCTGCAGCTCCAAGCTATCGCATGCGCAGCGGGCCATAAATTTTTTCATGATCTTGCGAAACGCCGCAAGATTAAGCGAACGGTAGCGCAGGATGGTCTGAACACTCACGTACAACTCGGCAATACACTCATCCGGGCGGGCGCGGATCTCCTCCTCCGTTAGCTTCTCCAATTCATGCACACGTACAAGGAGGTTATCCTCCAACTGCCACAAATACCTCTTTACCTTCACGAAGGAGGCTCTCAGCTCCTCAAAAAATTTTTCTTCCAGTGCATGCCGCTTTTCTATAATTTCCATCAATTCCAGTTCACTCTCTGTTTGTGATAATGGCTCTGCGGCACCCCTCTGCGGTGTGGACGAGAGTGTGGCTGACGCCGCCTCGGCCGCCGCCAAACCCCTGCGCTCATCAATCTCTTGTCGCAGCTGCTCCACCGCCTTGGCAATAGGCTTCAGTTCAAAGTATGAGACGTAATTTTCGAGGGTGATCTCAGTGTTGTACTCAGACAGGAGACGCCGGTGAAACGCCTGCCCCTCCGAAACGCCTTTGCCTGTTCGCATGCTTCAAAGGGAAGTTCTTCTCTCAGTCCACTGTCCCTCGTCCTTTTTTTTTTTATGTTGGCTTCTTTTCGTCTTAAAAGCGCTGTACTGCTTTTGAAAATTCCTCCCGTCTTCTTGCGTACGGCTGCCCTCACTGTCGCTGAGTGCGGGCACAGAAGAAAGTTTTGAAAGCTTTTTTCTTCGTTGCTTAATTTAATTTCACGTTCTTTCCAACTGGCAACCTTGTGCCTGCTGCAGAAAGAGCAGCGCCGCGTCCGCTTGCCGTGCCCACGGCATTCATTCGCGGACAACAAGAAAGGGAGAGAGAGAAAAGGATAAGTACAACACGGAGGACGCAGCCAGCGGTAGGGATGAATAGTCCACGGTGCACGCCAAAAACAAAACAAAAAAAAGCAAATATGCATTCGAAACAACCCGTGAGCACCCAAAGCAAAGAAAAAAACAACAACAACACCGCACACGCTGGGAGTGCAAGCATACACAAATGTTCTCAGACGCGATAACCAAACAACCCGTTCAAAGAATGAAAAAAAAAAGAAAAAAGAAAACAGCGTGCGCGTGTATGATAGGGACGCCACAAGCAGCAGCGACAGCAGTCACACCAGTAAAACGACGACAAATAGTTCTAATGGAGCTTCTCTGCCGCATTGGTGGTGATAATTGCCCACATGTCGGGCAGACACTGCAACATGAACTCTACGCGTTGGCGTCTTCGACCCATTTCATGAGCACTGTGATGAACATATGCTTCTGTTTGCTCCTGCGTGTGGTGCGCGGTGCGCAGAGGCTGCAAGGTTGTTAAGGCGCGTTGCAGCAACAAGCCCCGCACGGCCTCCCCGCAATGCTCCATAGTTCTTCCGGGTTCCTCCCCCGAGGCATCCTTGGCTGTGGCGTGGTCGGCTATTGCCCACCGACCGAGTGCTGCCATCATCTTGTCCCCGCCCGCCTGGATGCTGTCACCACTAGCCTCATCCTCGTCAGAGTCCTTGTCTGCAGCAGTTTCCTCATGTAGACTCCTCTTGCATCCTATTGAGGCGGCAGAGTGTGTCTGGTGGAGTTGATGCAGTAATGACTCTTGCTGCTGCTGAATCAGCTGGTGGTACGCCGTTGCGGCACTTAGCTCAGCTGCGGTTGCCTCTTCCCATGGAAGCATTCCCTTTTCACCTTCCCGCCCGCTCTCTTTTTAGCCTGCGTGCCCAATTGCAGTTCACGCTCTTTTCCTCTGCTGCGACCTGTGATGCACCTACGACAGCTTGGTCGACTGTTTTGCATCAGTGATTCGGAAGATGTAAAAGTGAAAAAGAAAAAAAAACGCACATACAAAAATTAAGAGAGGCTAAACCTAAATCAGAAGAATGCAACAATCTCCCAGCATTCTCTCGCAATTTTCGTCGCCGTGTTTGTGTACATCTACAGAAGCACACCAGAGGCATTCCACACGCATGTATGTGAATCAATCAAGGAAGAAGAGCATATCATTCACAAGAACAATGACGACTGCTCACTCATTTTTTTTATATATATATAATGAGTATTTCCTGCCTTTCACTTCACTCCAAAATGGGCATATTCTTACACGGCATTCATCCCTACTATACCCCCGTCCCTCGCTTCCTCACATACATGCACACGGAATAATAATAATAATAATAATAATAATAAGGCAAAAACGAGCGCCAGAAACATATATATATATATGTCCACAGCCGCTTTGGGGACATTTACAATCAGCCACCCCAGCTCGCTCTGTCATTTGTTTCTTGACTACGGTGCCAATACAACACTCACAGAAACAGAGGCGTTGTTATACACGCCTTCACCCGGCAACTCCACTGCAACAGACGAAAAAGCGGCGGCCCACCCAACAACATCAACCCCTCCCTTTTCTTCTGGCAATGCGAGGAATTTCCGCGCCTCAAGTAGCAGCACCGTGGTGGAGCTCTCCGGCCCAGTGAGCGGATGCGATGCGGGCAAGGATGTTGTAGCACTCGTCGCGTTGCCTGGCAAAGGGCAGACGCCAAGGCGTACACGCAACGGCTCCATGGCGCTCAAGTCATGAAAGAATCCCTCACCTTCCTGAAGCATTTTGCCGCTTGACCTCACCCTGCTGATATCACTGGCACCGCTGCGACGACTGTCAGCAATAGTGTCACGCATCTGTAGCTCTTCCGGCTCTTCTTCTTCTTCTTCTTCTGCTGCGTCTTGGCCGCCGGAGCAGCGAGAACGCTTTCTAGAAGAACAAGACGCCTCCTTCAGCACCGACAAAGCCCCTGACAAAGGAGGCGACGAAGTGACTGCCTTCGCCATCCTTGCGGAACGCGATTGCGACGACACTGGCGTTCGTCCCAGGCTCGCCGACGCTTCTTCTTCTTCTTCATTCTCGTCGTACTGTTCGTTTCCGCCCACAAACGCGTCATCGTCCCCCGCCACGTTAACAACATCAGCAATAACTCGAACGCCTCTTTTTATAGCGCGTGTAATTTGCTTTGGTGGCATTCTATATTTCTGTTTTTGTTTTGATGGTTCCTTTTTCCCATGCAAAGAGAGTCGTACACAAATAGAAAGAGAGTGAAGGCGGATTAAAAGTCCCTTTTTTTTTCTTCGTTGTTGTTTTGTTTTGTTTTTAAAGCTTGTTGCCAAGTCTGCGCCGTATTGCGCCACACCATGGACATGCCGCGCATGAAGGAAGAGGGGAAGGATAAAGAAAGAAATCAAAAAAAAAGGGGGAAAAAGAAGAAGCGACGAGTACACTTTGGTATGGCTAGGGACATGCACGGGGATGTGTTGAAGGAGACATACAAAATGAGCATTACAAATGTAATACCACACCAGATATAACTATGCCGCATACAAGGGAGTTAACAAGAAACAAAGAATGATATAGATAAAGGACCCACGTGGAATGGTAGCTACAGGGTACTCGTTGCATTTGCCTTGTCTGCATATGCCCACATGCAGAGTAGAAAATTATGGAAGACCCCAACGCCAATGGGAGGAACGACGCGAGTTGTAGCATCGCTGCCCATTGTTCCCAAGATATATTTATACGCGCAAATGTCTGCTGCCTCCTCACCGTTAGTCGCCTTTATCTTGCAGCGTATATTTTTTACACGCCTGTACTACCTGCCTTTTGGGTGTCTTTTGTGTCCCGCTAGTCATTCAGTTGCAATAGACGTTGTATATGTGTCTCATTCTTCTCCCTTTGCGTTGCGTTAATGCACGCCCACAATCACCAAGGAAAAAAAATCCACCACCATTTTGCTTTTTTTTTTGTCGTGTTTTTCTTTTCTATTTTGCATTTTCTTTGCCATTCTTCTTCTTTCATGTCGTACCGATCCAGTTTTGGCAAGACCACAGTTTATTTCCAAATCCCTTTCACTTTTTTGTAGCCTCGTTGGCACCACTAAATTCCCGAAATGTGGTGATGAACGCCTTTAAGTGGGCATTTATATCCCGCATCTTCACTGCGTCTTCTGCAGTGGGCGGCTGGCCGCTCTGCATGAGTTGCTGAATGCGCATCATATCCTGCCGTAGCTGTGGGGAGAGGGACTGAAACGCCATTTGCATCATCATCATCTCCTGCTGATTGGGGACCCCGTGACAGTGACTGTGATCGTGACCGTGACTGTGATCATGGCCGTGACTGTGATCATGGCCGTGACTGTGATCGTGCCCGTGGTGTAACAGCGACGCAAGTGAGGGCGTGGAGGAGCATATTGACATCATCTGCGACTCCTGCAACAAGCACATCTGCCTAATGACTCTCTCCGTCTCCTTGTCTGGAAAATGTAGCACGGCATCCTTCAGTTGTTGCAGGATAGCTGCCCCATCCGGCGCTGTCGCACTAGCGTCCTTTTCTTGTTTCTCGTGGGCCCCACACTTTCGTGTGACCGCATAGCTTGCGAGGAATTCCTCTTGCAAACCCTCAAAAAGGTTCATAAGCTCCGTGTCGCTTGTAGGGGCCGGCTCTCGCTTGACCGCCTCGCGTAGCTTCTCCGCAAAGGAAGGTGTCTGCATCTGCGTCGTCATGGCAAGGACGAAGTCATGA